GCCGTCAGTTCTGCGTATACTATGTGCCCTGCCCATTTCCACTTCAGCTTGCTAATCCGTCGGGCTATGTCAGCGACTTTAGTTCGTTTACGGATCTCCTCATTTCTAATTCGATCTCGCAAAGAAACACCGACACACCAATCGATCAATATGGAAAGCATTGGGGGAGGCCTATGTTCAGCAGTGGACGTCCTATGGCTGAAATGATGATGATGATAATGATAATGATTAAATATTTGAACTTAGGTACGACAGTCGATAGCACGTCATAAATTTATTGTTGTAAAATTATAGTTAGCTTATCACAACTAAGTACATAAATTTCCTTCCACAGTGTACCTTAATGTGCTGTTGTCTGTACAATATTTTAAGCTGAAGAGTTTGTTTGTATCTTTGGTTGTATACTCGTACTTACGCGTTAATATCAGGAACTATATGAAAAATTAATTTAGTGTTGGATTACCCATTTATCGAGGAAGGCTATAGGCTAACCATCACGCTACGACCAATAGAAGCAGAGCATCACTGAAAAATGTTGCGAAAACGAGAAAAATATACGATTTTCCCGAAGTCGCGGGCTTATTTAGTACATTAATAAAAATACAGATTACCACAACATAATAATAATTATCTAATTTACGTAGACAAACTGATTGCGTTAATAAATTCAACCCAAAAAAATATGGTCATAAAGATACGAAAGATTCAATACTTTATGGATCCAATCTATAGAATCGAAATCTAATCAAGACCTTCAGGATATAACTTTGATTATACTTTAATCCATACGAGATTATTTATTAAACAAATCCAATGTGATTAGTGGAACAGTGAATATTTTATATGAAACTGAAAGAATTTACAGTAAAAAGATACAAAAGAAAACAATTTAATACTAATATAATAACAATGTATATTATTAGAATAATATCGCACAAGTTACTTCAGTTCAAGAAGCTTTCATTTAACAGACTTCAAAAAAGAGGGGGTTCTTAATTCGGTTGTTTTATTATTGCATTGAAAATATTGATAATGATATACAAAAATGTTTTGATAATTATGAAATGTAATCATTGAATTAATTACAAGTATTGCCTCTTATTTTCAAAGATATTGATCTGGTTTTCAATTAATTATTTATTTAAATATCTACACTTGACACAACTCACCGTGTACTACGATTTGTAATCGATATGAAGATTAAAATAATATTTACAACGGTGATAGGGGCATTAAAATAATGATAACATTGATTTATAATCGGTTTTGATAACTGGAAAATTAGGCACAGAAAGTGCTTGGGTACAATTTAATAACATTGAATATAATATAATGTAAATACTAAATAGTTATTTAGGTAGGTATGTTGCATTAGATCTCACATATTTTTGGGCCCCTCTAGACCCAAGAAAACGGAAAATAAAACAAAGTGAACCGCGTGCTAACCGACCCTCAGTGCCATCTAGTCTTTATCAATTACATTTCTTTATTACCCGCAATTAAATACTAGAATAATGCTAACACAAATATTACGAAGGGCTTAAAGAACCCTCAAAAAATATAACCCTGTAATTTTGAACTATCAAGTTAACAAAATATTACGTGGTTTTTCAATTTATTTCTTTATCAATTTACTAGATAATATAATGAATGGCTGAATGTTATAAAATTACTGAGTCATTCATAATCACTAAATGCTACTCATTTTAATATCTACTGCAATGTTGCAATTTTACGGAACATGATTTTACGCATTATTTTATTTTTAACATTATTTTATTTTTAAATATTAATCTAATAAACAGTATTGCAATTTTGCGCACGTTTTAAATTAACTAGTAAACGGGATCCTGCAAAAAACGGGATGCCTCTGTGGGAAAGAGCCCTTAGAACGAGTTTGGGGACAAAACTTACACTTTACAAATCCATCCATTCAAAACAATAGCCTGAGTTGGACCATCTTACTTCTTTATCAAACGTCATAAATCTGTCAAACTCCATACAAAATACACCGGTTATTGTTATAGTTACGGTTAAAGTAACTCAGTGTAACTTAGCCTTAGGCCCGATTTAACCAAACTTTTATCCGAGAATAACTCCTGTAGGCCTAAGATGCGCGCCGTGATTACTTTTATCGCGTCAAAATGTATGGGCAAAATCGATAAAATGGCGTTATAATATAACGCGTTAGATTGTAAACTAACAGTGGGTTAGGTTAGGTTAGATTGTAATTTAACTACGTCAGATTATAATCTGACGGAATTCACAATTTTACGTTGACATATCCGCTTATCGCGGCGCGCATCTTAGGAATACTGTTATAACTGGCACATTGACAGTTTCATTATGGGAAATATGTTAAAATGACGAATAACTAAAGATTTATTCTAAGATTAATATTTACTCTTGTTTGGTCGAATCCACCCTTAGGCTGAGTTGCACCACATAATTTTGGCCGTAACTATAACGATAACCAGTATTTTTTGTATGGAGTTTGACAGATTTTTGACGTTTGTCAAATTTAAAGTAAGATGGTGCAACCCAGCCTTAGTATTCTAAAGCCCAATGATTCAATTACTTTTAGAAATAGGTACAAATAAATCAAGTGCATGTCAACCCTAGGTTTGCGGCAGGTTGGTCCTTCGCACCCCAGGGCCTACTTTACGAGGGCCATTATACACGCTCCCCGTATGCACTCTTTATTATTTACATTTTATTACTACAGATTCTGATTAATGACGCAATCGTGACTATGCATTTTTAATATCATAGTTCTGTCTTCATTATTTGTCAATGAGTCTTTATGACAAAAATCGATTGCAATTTTTTTCTAATTCAGAATTTCAGAAATAGTTGGTAGAGCATTTTAGGAATGAAAGAGGTGAAACATCTGTCGAATTTTCACTGAAATTTCAAAGCGCTTTAAAAAAATAAGTGTTTTCCTTTTCTAAGATTTACATTTTTCTGTATTATCACTTGAACTAATATTAGAAAAATATAAAATGTAGAGAATTTCTAAGATATATTTTTATTAGTGTTTTAAAATTAAACCAATAACAAATTCCACAATCAATTACAAACGATTCCAATTAATTGTCATAAAACAACGAGAGCTTTGTGAGTGTTGCCCGCAATTCCCAACTGCAAAAACATGCAACCGCTAAACCGTAAATAATCACAAATGCAGAATCGAATAGGGAATCGTATTGCCAATTCACCGATTCGAAAATCGATTCGGCAATCGAGATTTTACTATCACGATTACAAAATGTAAATTACGATGCACCGTCGGTCGCGCCGAGTGTTTTTAATTTGTTAAAAGCCTGAAAAATAACAATCTGAATGCATCCGCCATTTGCGGCCGCGCCTCTTATAATTAAAATTGCATTAAGAGGCAAATAGGCGGACGCTAATGATGCTAATGCACTGTTTGGATAGAAAAAATGCAACAGACTGACGGTTTGTAATCCAATTTTCGTTTAAAAAGCAACAACTTCGTTTTAACGAAGTTCCATGATGGCTGAAGGTACTTTGGGTTCGAATTAGAACTTGGGAGGTCTTAGCCTTTTCTGAAAGTACCTACTTAGTAACTGGATTGAGTTTTAATACGCTAGTTTTCTGCTTTGAATTTCCATCATATTCTTAGGATTAAAAATTGTTGTTATCAACACTATGTCTACTCGTAATAAAATTATTTGGAATTTTCTAGTTTTAAGAAATCACTTGTCACCCTCGACATCCATTGATAGCTTGAATGGAATATTACTGTCAATGAATCAATGCAAAATAATAATTAAAGAATCTAATAACGGCCTATGACAATGAAGTTCAATACAATTGTCTCCATTCGCTCCATTACCGAAAGGGTCCCATTCAATATTTCGCAAAGCCATAAATTCGAGCATACTGTCGGGGCGGAACAATGAATCTAAATAACCATTAATATGTAATAAATACTATGGGGTAATAAAGCCGTGTCGGTAGGGAACAACAAACAAGTGTACAGAGTAACCCTTAAACGCTGGGCTTTGTCGAAAAGGCCCGGGCGTGAAATTGTCGAGGGGAACCCCGGGCCGAAGTCATTGCCGAATTTTGCCGAACAGAGCCGATTGGTTCCGCTCCAAATGCCGACAGCTGCTCTGTTTCAGATATAGGGGTCGCTCTTCATTAGGGCAACTTGTCTCGTCCAGAGATGGATGTTAGTTTTTGGACAGCGTGAGCCGAGCGCTGATGGTCGCTTGATGATGTATGAACTTTATCGGGAGGGACGTCTTCAAGCTTTGAATCGTAAATAAATAATTTACCTCGAACAATTACTGAAAATTACTTGTTTGGTAAACTAGCTGTAACACTAACCATGGATATCGCACAAACAAGGAGAATTAGAATAATTCTAATATGATTTTTGAAATAGAAGGTTATAATTTTATCAAAGTTAATATTACATAAATATTTATTAGGTAATATTTGATCCAACCATCATTTTGTCAAATATTTTACATTAAATTAATTGAAATATTTTTCCAAGTAATCTATGACGAACTCTAGGTAAATTGATAAGGAAAATTATAAACACGAAACCTGCAATTTTCCGAATAATATGAGTTTCATTTGCGTAATATTATGTTTACTCAAGTTTCATTGTACAGTACAAAATAATAACGCACTGGCCGTGAACAACAATACATCAAGCAGTAAACTAACAATGGGTAGTTTCGTTTAGTCGCGCCCGCGGATTAGTGAATTGTAAAAAAGATTGGGGGCTCGTCCGACCCGACGTGTTAATTACGGGGGTTGAGCGCTCGAGGGTTGAACAAATGAAAGTCAATTTGCTGCTGCGACATGATACGGCTCATTTCATCCCACGCGACAAGTGCGACACCTGCGCTTTTTCACTTGGGCCTATTGTGCCAATCGATGGGCGAATTCTGATCGAAATAAACGTAAACATTAAGTAAACAGTCCATATACTCGCACTTATGTTTCCCTTTTGTTTACAGATGAAATCAAGTTCGGCATCAATCGTCTAGTCGGCGATAAGACCAATGAAGACGAAGATGACCACAACAATGACCAAAGAACCGAAAACGTCTCTCCAGGATCGCGATGTGACAGTCCATGCTGGGCGCCATCGCCTCAATCCCCAAGATCGGTCCGCTCATCGTCTCCTGAACTGGAAGTAGATTCTCCTCCATCTTCTCCACGAAGACCTCCAGATTCCTCGTCACCTCCGAAGAGATCCGAAGCGTTTTCCATGAGCGTTCTCTTACGACCTGATGCTCCGAGAGTGCAACCGCAAAGGCCGTATTTATATCCCCCGTTGCCATTCGCGGAGTTTTTGAGAGATGCGGGCAGTTTGGGTCTGCCTTGGGGAGGGTATAGTAATTTCTACCTTCATGCGGTGCAGGCAGCAGGGCCGGAGTTTCTCAGGCTTCGGGCAGCTGTTCTTGGCGCTCAGAGTCCTTTGTCCAGACCGTTGCCGATCGGAGATGTGTATTCCTGTGTCAAGTGCGAGAAGATGTTCAGCACACCCCACGGATTGGAGGTCCATGCAAGAAGGTCCCATAACGGAAAGCGACCTTTTGCTTGTGAACTGTGCAGTAAGACGTTTGGACACGAGATCAGCTTGAGTCAACACAGGTCAGTCAAGTGGTGTTCATACCTATTACTAGTAGTACTGGACAGTAGTTATTATTTATTGTTGTTATCTAAGATAACGTCGTGGTAGGTAGATTAATATCAATATGAGTCTGCCTATACTAGAACATTTACTTGCATTAGAATATCAGGCATTAAGCATAACTGGCACGGTTTGAGGAGAGACTCGTCCAGTAGTGGGATTGTAGTATGTACATAGGTACATAGGCCACCCCCAATGATTTCCACAATAGCCGGTTGGTAGCGACCTGCATCCAGTGCCTTCCTGCTACTTTTATGAAGTCATCCACCTTGTGGGTGGACATCCTATGCTGTGCTTTCCGATACGTGGTCTCCACTTCAGATCCTTGCTGCCCTATCGGTCGTCAGTTCTGCGTAATATGTGTGCCCATTGCCACTTCAGCAGGTTACATTGATGATGTGTAAAAGTGCTCTTTGGGATCCTACTTGTATAAATAGAAGAAATCGGCCGTTTGGTGTAGTGGTTCAGAACGGACTACTATGCCGAGAGGTCCCGGGTTCGATTCCCGGCCGGGCAGAAATTGAAATGATGAATTTTAATTTCTGTGACGGGTCTGGGTGTGACTATGTATAATATTTATGTATTTAAATATATATATATATATATGTATAAGTAGTATATCCGTTAAGCTAGCACCCATAACACAAGCATTAAGTTGCTTACTTTGGGGCTAGCTGGCGCTGTGTGAAATTGTCCAAAGATTTATTTATTATTATTTATTATTTGATTTGATGTTTTAACCCACCACAAAGCTCCCATCTGATAAACCTCCCGCTTCCAGGGCGGTGCACAGCGTTGAGAAGGTGTTCGAGTGCAAGCAGTGCGGGAAGACCTTCAAGAGGTCCAGTACTCTGTCTACTCACCTGCTCATCCACTCCGATACCAGGCCCTACCCGTGCCAGTACTGCGGGAAGCGGTTCCACCAGAAGTCGGATATGAAGAAGCACACGTACATCCATACAGGTAGGTTTAGTTGTATAGTGGATGACAGACTGATATTTTATGTTATATTTTATTTAACTATGACTTTATGACTTTTTGATATGTCCACTTCCTAAATCACGAAGTCAGAAATTATGTTCCACGCATTTCCCTCCATAACATCTTATTAACTGGACTTTAAGTTACAGTAACAATTGACAAAAAGTGACTCTACACTTAACTAAACTATTTAAGTGATAACGCGTGATGTCAAGCATATTACTTAAAATAATATTTTATATGATTTTTTTGTTTAGGGTCCAAAAATACTAACTTGATAAAGAGTTACATATAAGTCGTCGTTTGCTTTCTTCAACAACAAGGCCCTACTGTTTTTGTCGTTAAAAATTTCTAATCTGTCTATCTTGTCAAATGTTTATTTTTATTGGTGAATCAAATCAATTTGCAATACTACTTTTAAAAGCTACCAAAACTTTAGGAAGGTTTGACTCATGATAAATAAACACTTTTTACTACGGATTCATAAGTAACTCAGTATTTTTGATATTCTGCTGAAAATACAAAATATTTAGCTTCCAATTTAATGCGTAATCACAGAATTTTAATACGATGATATATTAACGCATGGATTATCGTTAATCCAAATCCACACATCACTCACTCAAGTCCTGATTTATTAAATCTTGAATTTCCTAATTCAACTATATCTGATTTATTTTATAAGAACTCCATTAATCGCTGATATACAAATAAAATCACTGAAAACGTGACAAACAATAATATTATTTTGGGTTACGTAATGTGTTATTTATGATAGGCCATACTCATATACATGACATAATGTATTGTCACGGTAAAATTGAAATTTTCTGTCTGTTAGTTTACAATCTCACGCGTTATATTGTAAACAGTAGGAATAGCATGAAATATGCGCTACGATAAGCTTTTATCGCGCCATTTTATGCATTTTACGCGAAAAGCTCATACATTTGTCGTCTAAAATCATCGATGATGTTATCATGGTTGACGGAGTTTAAAATTTGACGGTGACAGGTATAAAAAAGTTTTACTTGATGACTCTGATATTTCAAATTCTTCACAAAATTGACTAATCCCTTCCCATTATTACTTCAAGTTTGAACATAATCAACCGCCCAGACAATAATCTTGACGATAATTCAAAGCGAACTTTGTGAAGCATTTACTTACCCAAAGTGGGGAGTGTCAGGCCTCCCTTCCCCGTGGGGTAAGTCTTGCCATAATTAATGTGCATTAACACCTAAGACGGGTGTTTTATAATAATCGCGTAAATGGAGGCGATGCGCTGGAGTCGTCTGCGGTAAGGTTATAGCGGCGATTGGGTTACACGTACACACGGCCGTGGCGGATGGCAAGCTGTTGACTTAGTGCTATTTTCCACGGGGTCATCCCGTGCACGTACTGTTTTTTCCAGTATCCCCTTTGGTAGTTTAAATATTCCGTTTGCAGTGTCTCGCAAAAAAACGATTCTTTCTAATTTTGAAAGGGCCCTTAATTATTATGATTCATAGTCAATTGCGCAATACGACTAATGTGGCACGAAATCTATTTGGTTCAAGACTAGCTTTCCGCCCGCGGCTTCGCCCGCGTGGAATTTTGTCTGTCACAGAAAAACAATATCGCGCGCGTATTTGCTCACCTTTTAGACCTACCCTGGACTACGACAAACATTTTAAAACCAAAATCAGCTCAATCGGCCCAGCCGTTCTCGAGTTATAATCAGACTAACGAACATCTATTCATTTTTATTTATATAGATAGATAACTAAAATGGCCTTATTACAAAAAACTGAAGCTGAACTGAAGGACTCCACATCTTACGGTTAACAGTTGAAAGTTCTTGCTTGCCGAACTTACAAGCCGTATTTTCACGAAGGCCCTTCATGAATATAAGATGGTGCGGCCGCCATCTCGCTGTCTCACTAACACTTAACCACCGTAAGATTCGACCGTATTCTTAACCCGCAAGTGCTCTGTGCTCTCATGATTTCATGAGCTGTTGTCATTTATGGCCAAAAGCGGTTGGAAGTAAACATCTAATTTCTGTCATAATAGTCCCAAACTAAGAGGAGATTGCATCTACTAAGGCCCGATTCGACCAAATTTTTATCCGAGAATAACTCCTGGTATAACTGGCACATTGACAATTTCAGTATGGGAAATATGTCAAAACTAACGTTTTATTCTTAGATTAATATTTATTCTTGTTTGGTCGAATCCATCCTAACTATCGGATAAGTACATGAAATAGTTATTTTTAATACATTCCTTCAGGCATTACACATCCGTGCTCGTTACATAAAACATTTGCCTTCAGCAGGATTCGAATTTTCTACCGCAAAATAATCGTGTGCAAAAGTCACTTGGTTAGGTAACAGTCATTTATTCACAAAGTACCTATATTTGATTGTGAATTAGTGTTTCATCTATCTTTAGCAAAATCAGTAAAGTCAAATCAAGGGACATTTATTACCCTAAGGGCTACTATTGGTCAATTCTTCTGATTGCGCTGTTTTTACTTTATGACATAGAAATGCAATTGCCTTATATGTATTTTATACACTGTTTTTAAATCATGCTGAAATCATACAAAATAACAACATACAACATCTGTTCCACATTATCAATTTGCCACTATTATCGCCAGTTTCCATATAAACGGTGTTGCAACAATATTGCAGAGGTTTACCAGAAACCACTTACTGAGTAATTAAATAGTACCCTTGTTTTAATAATAGTGTCCAACTGATACCTTTATCTGTAGAAATAAGTAGGCATAAATAATTAAACAATTATTTTAATACATAGTTTTAAAACTGTGTGGCTCAAGCTTTCAGTTTGAAGAAAGCATCTATTCTGCATGAAGCCACAGTGTTGTTTATGTGCAGTGATAGTTCTGATAGTTGCCAAGGCATAGTAGGTACATAACATGTACATAAAATAGCTACACAAGTAGGTAATTCAAAACTGTATAATTTCATTTTGTATGGCACTCTCAGATAATAGAGTCTTATTTTTAGAGATTTTTAAAGAGCAAAATAACTTTCAGTGCGCGTAGAGCCTTAATTTGATTTCATCTAGACCATAATAAAGAAACTCCTTTTTATCTCACACATAAGGTCAGAAGACAAGTTCAAACTTGAAATATCCAAATCTAATCTCCGCTTTTTACCACCCATAAAACCTCCGACATCTTCGATCTTCATCAGACATACCTACCTAAGAATTTCTCCCCAGTTCATTTGAGACAAGGGTGGGCCCGTCTGTGATTCAAGCGCATAGATTCGCCGGTACCCTGCGTGTCGTGGGTGGGAAGGAGAGGGAATATAAATTTAAAGAACCAGAAAGAGACGGTCGATGTAAGGGTTGGGTTAGTTATTGGGCACATGTTCGTGCTGTTATGTGTTTATAGGCTCGATGGATTTTCTTGTTTAATTTTTGTTGCAGAAATTGTTCATTGTCTCAGTCGATTTTTGAGTTGGACTCTAAACGAGAATTTCACATAGAATTAATAATCTTGTGTCTCGTTATTTTGTTGCAGGAATGTATCAATGTGATGGTTCAGAAATCATTTAAAATCGATACAACAGAGAAAAAGCATTGATAGACAGGTAAATTCAGACAAATCCCCAAATGTAAATCAACAAAATTGAGTCAAATGTTTAACACGCTAAGTAAGTTAATACATTAGAGTTGCAAAACGTTGTTGACAATATAAATTATTAACACGTTTAACCCAATACACTCAGCCGACACACCTTCGAGTGAGGGCGGTGCATTTCCCGGCACCTGATCCCTCCGACCCTCCACGTCTAAATTATAAACAATATCAACTTCCCGAATAGTTCCACGAACGGCATTTTAATCAGTGTCCCAACTTCTTGATTAATGTACCCCAAACAATTTATCGTCGAAATTTTATTTATAATTACACCCGCGAAATTAAATGGCCGACAATTAGTCAACGTCAAGACGTACGACCGCGATTTGTCACCTCACCCGAACCTGGTTAATTCATCGCTAATAGAGCCTGGAAGTTTGTTAACCCGAACTTGTACCTGCATTTAGTACGGCAATTTCCAACTTAGTAGTTACGGTAGTTAGCAAACTCCGGGTAATTAATATTAGTTCCCGCTTTGAATTCGTTCGAGTTTAATTGTCCATAGTTACATTTATACGTCCTATTGTATAATTGGAAGTAATTACTTACTTTTTTGATAGTGACATTTCTTATGAGGGTTACTTGTGAATAATAAACAATTATGGATCAAAAACTGACCCCTGCGCGACTCCAACAAATTACGACGCTGCGGTGCATCTTTTTAAATTAAAAAAGAATTCGCGGATAGTAAGGAAGCAATTTTAAAAAGACGAGACAGCCAAAATGATAATTTGACCGTTTCCCATCCCATTTCATGAATGCTTGATTCACCGAATGCTTTGTTACTGTATTTTTTAAAACTCTTCCTTCTCTTAATTAGTCTGGGGATAAACAAGTGGCACATTAGCTTTCGGAATAATTACACGGCGGCCGTGTTCCGACCTCTTTCTTTTTTGTTTTGGCATTACTTCCCTGGCATGGTTTGCGGTGAAGAATTTTAAAAGCATTTGCGAAATTGGTTTGCATCAATTATAAAAAGAACAACGTCTCTAATGGCGACTGTTTAATTGTATTTTTTTTTATTCGTAGAGCTTACAAAGGTCGCAGTGATGATAATTTGATTACTGGTATAACAGAATTGACACCGTTGCTTTATTTAGAAAAAGAAAAATCTTAATTTAAAAAAAAATCTTCCCAGCATAATTTTAAAAATAGAACAGTCCCATTTCAGAGCCAAATGTTGTTAACTCAGAAACGCCCTCTGATTACATTCTAGAGTTTTCTATTCAAAATGGCAGACATTGTGAAGTTCTTAAAAGCGAGTTGCTATCGTCTAATTGGATTAGTAAAAGGCCATTGCGAGCGGAACGCTGGCAATATG